CTGCACCTGTAAGTGGAATTGTCCCCACCACACGGCCTCCATCCTGTCTCAAAGTGAGTGCAAAGACTCACACTGAGGTAGTAAACAGGAAAGAACCACTGCCATCCACCACCTCAGGGAGAAAAGCATGGAAAATGATTCACCAGAACTGGAATATGTTGTTTGCTCCCACCTGGTGACAGAGCCTCAGCATCTCTGGAGGATCCCAGGTGGCACAACTGGAAATGCTGGCATATACTTGGGAGTGGATGTTTGTCATTTGGCATGGGCCTTGGGACTAGTGGGAATGTAGTATGTTCCACACAGCTGGAGCCTGCACCAGGTCAAGATGACTGCAGAGGGAATGCACAGGGGTCAGGAAGGGGGGGCATTAAGATTGTTCTAGTTCATATGACTCAAGTGGTACTGATGAGAACACCAAGGACTGGGGGGCTTGTGACACATCAGAATTAGCACCCACAGTCAGAGAGATGCTTCTGGAAATAAGCCACATAATTTCACCTCTGATCAGAGGCCTCTGGTGGGTTCTGCATGGGGTGGATGGTCTATGTTCCAGATCCCCATATGTGACCTGCTTTGGGAATAGTGGCACTGCCCTCATAATTTGTTAAGTGGAGCTTATGCTGAATTAGGGAGGCCTTTGGCCAGTGGGCTGGTGTCCTTCCAAGAATGGACACAAAAACACAGAGAGGGAGGTGATCTGTGAAGACAGTAGTACAGGAAAAGCATCACATGAAGATGGGCAAGGGCCAGAGAGGTGCACCTACACACCCAGGAACATCAAGGGTTGCTGCTTGTACCAGATGCTGGGAGGAAGGATGATGCTGCCCTGGAGCCTGCAGATCCTAGAAAATGACTGAATGTGGAATAGAACCTCTATAGAGCTATCTCAACTAACATGAGGCCATTAGAATGTGCATTATGTAATCTGACAGATCTTGTCAAAAGCAGAATAGTTCAGACATACCTCCAGAGACATAGCAAGAAGGTGGGCAGCTGCAAGTCAATGAGAGAGGCCTCAGGAGAAAAGAAACCTGCTGACACCTTGATCTTGGGCTTCAGGCTTCTGAACTGTGAGAAAACAAATTTTTGTTGTTTCAGCCACCCAGCATGTGACAGTTATAGAAGCCCAACAAACTAATGAGATGAGAGACAGACAGATAGATAGATAGATAGACTGATAGATGACAGACATATGTGTATGCTATCTGGGCTCTTTGGACAAACAATAAGCAGATTCAGAGTGTCTGGTGGGTTTTTGAGTTTTTTCAATTTCTAACAAGTTTTCAGGTTATGTTGATCCCACTGAAGCAGCAACTCCTTCCTAAGATGTTTCTTCTATCTCTATTAATGGATAATACTCAGTTAATAGAAAATAGCAACCTGCCAGTTTCTCTTTCTGTTAACATGCTTGTTCAGCAGCTAAGGAAGGAACCAGAGATGCCTAGAGAATGGGGGAGACCTCAAGTTTACTATCATGAGAAAGTTTTGAAACCCAGAAGTGTGTACTGTATAAAAGATACTGAGAACCAAGGGCAGTGGTCAGCCTTTGGAGAAGACTCTGCTGAGCTGCAGCAGTGCTGAAGAAACCTTGCTCTTCTATTTCTCCACGTGCTGCTTGTCTCTTTCCATGAACATTATTTTTGGTATTTTTCCACGTTTTCCATAACATACATTGGGGGCTTTGTCTAGGAACCTGACGGAGGGATAGGCATCGCCTGGTCACATGCCAGATCCTGACTCTCACAGGAGCTGTGATGGCCCTGGCTCTCATTACTTCCTGAATGAACTCAGAAGAAGAACAGAAGCAGATTTCATGACTGGAAATTAAACTGGTTAGTCCCCCAAAATCATTTGCCCAAGTTAGGAGCTGCTTGAAGTGGAAAGGAAAACTAATCACTTCCCAGTGACTGAAGTGTCACTCAGTACAGGTTTGCCTACTGAGGAGGTCTGTCTGTCAGTTCTGTTATGTGCATGCATGTGACCTGCACAACTTAGTCTTTGTTCCACCATCTTCAGACTATGGAGCCTGAGTGAGTCCTGATTGTGATTCCATGGTGACCTCATAAGCTTAAGACAGCACAAAACCTAGAAGATCCAAAGTCCCTTCATGGGAAGTTGGTCTAGGTCAGGGGCTTATACTAATCTGACATTGAGGCAAAGATGCACCTAAATCTCTACAAAGAGAGTGACCAGGCAGACCAAGGTGTTGTGAGACACCATCTCAAGGTGAGAACTTTCACATAACTTTCACATCATGACATGAGTGGCTGTACATAACAGCCACTCATGTCATGATGTTATGGAAATATAAACGATTAAATCAGGATGATGTTCTTTAACCCTAAAAGGACCCAAACATCAAAGGGGGAAATACAGTAGAGATTTTCTAAGAACACCCTCCTCCCCCCACAAAAGAGAAATGTCCTTATTTTCTTCTTCCCTGCCAAGGCCATTCTTCCTCATCTTCTTTTTCAGGAGCTCTCGGACCCTAAATGTAATGATTCCTCAGCCATTCTCTCTCAATAAAATACAAGTTGTCCAGTTGTCAAAAATTGCCCAGTGTTTGCTAACTTTCAAGTAAAAGGAGTAAAAGGCTTCCCTTTTGAGAAGAACATATTTTGACTAAATGTTGTCAGAGAAATACAACTAAAATAAAAAAAAGTAGCATGATGATATCAGTATCAGTGTGAGCCTTCCTTAACTTGGTTTTAACATTGTTTGCCTTATACAGAAAGAGAGAGAACAAAAGAAAAAAAAAAAGAAAATCCACAAACAAGAACTAAGGAACAGCCCCCTTAGATGAGACTCCCTCAAGGATGCAAGAACTCACCTACACCCTTCAGCAGAGGCTTAGCCACTGACTTGACTGGGTTTCCAGGAGAGACACTCCTTTCTTTCATGTTACAACATGTTAATAACCTTCTGATGGCCAGCTCAACAGAGGCTCAATGCCTAGAAGGAAAAAAGGTCTTTCTTTCCCTACTAACAGGGGTAAGATATTGCATATCAAAATAAATGAAGACACAAATCTGTCAGAGACAAATTAAATAGTTAGGTTTTAACATGATACAAGGATGTTGAATGCTGGATCTAAAAAAGAAACAATAAAAACAACAACAACAAAAAAACAATGTGCATTTTTTGCCATCCCTACCCCCACCATTGTCACAAAGTCTGAGAGTTCCTAGGAACAACAGGATGCTACAGGGTATAGAGACTGGATTTTCAGACTAAAAAAAAAGTCCCATTGAGTGAAGAACAAAACAGGAGGTAGTCTTTCAGACAATCAAGGCCAAAATCTTGAGGCTCCAACCCAGAGACCTCCTGATATAATCAGAGACTTTAACCTCTTTGTTCAGGAGAAGAACAAAATAAATTTGGGAGTCCCTACCCAAGAATTGGGATCTTGGAAAAGGCCACTGGGGTGGTTATCTAAACAAACTAACTCAGTCACAGCTAGATGGGGCCCTGAGTCAGACCCCCTGCAGTCACTACTTTGCTGTAAGGGAAGTTGACAAGCTGAGACTGGGACAAAACTTCAATGCTAAAGCCCCACACTCAGTTGTAACCCTGAAGGATAACAAAGGTCACCACGTGCTTTTATTGTGCAAAGGTCACGTGTCAGGGATTTTAGCCCCCCCCTTTCCTCCTGACCTGTGGAAGAGATGGGGAAAGCATGCTCTGATCAGGATGAGCCAAGAAAGGCAAAGGTAGACTGGCTGATGCATCTAGCTCTCCTGCCCCAGAGTACAATCAGACAGACCAGGAAGACCAGTCAAAGCAAGATCTCATTGATTGAGGAAGCATACACAGATAACAAAATGCACAGGAGCCAATCAGGATAAAAGTCAGCAGGGAGAGTTCTGAGCCTATCCTAGAGTTGGTCTGATTTTTCATCACCACCCATTGCACCGCATCCTGGCTGATTGCCACGTGTCATCTAGCCACATGTCACCCCAGGACTGGGAAGCAGGTAGTTAGTTAGGTTTCCTCTTTTCTGATGCAACATGCCCCACATGTTATATCATACTCTACAGTCACCATGTGCTCATACTTCACAAATGACCTGATCTCAAAGGTCACCATGTGAGAATTCACTCATAAACCTGCAAGTTATACAAACTCTAAAGTCAGCTATGTTCCTAATGGGTGAGGCAGGGCCCCTGAGCATAACTGTTTGGAAATAGTAGATAAAATAATTTTCCAGCAGATCAGACCTGACTGACAGCCCACTCCAAAACCCAGACTTCGTCCTTTAGACTAATGAAAGCAATTTTATAGAAGATTAAAAAAAAGGATGGCTGGGTATGCTGTGGTGTATGACTCTAAAGGGATGGAAACAGAGTCACTTCTCCAAGGATGGTCAGCACAAAGAGCAGAATTATGAACATTAACCAGGACATTAGAACTCATCCAAGACCAGTGAGCCAACACTGAGCCTCCATCCACACCAAATCTCAGTATGACTTCCTACTCCTCATGTCCATGGAGCATTCAACAAGGGAAGAGGACTCCTTACCACAGAAAAAATAGGGACCAAGAACCCAACTAAAAATTTGAAAACTTCCAGAATTAGTATGGGAACCAAAGGAAGTGGCAATTGTCCACTACAAAGGTCCAGTGGCAAAAAAATGGAATGGCCAAACTGATGCTGCCACCAAACAGGCTGCCCAGAAGCAGCCACCAGAAAAAGCCAAAACCTAGCTAGCACCAGAAATGCCACCAGATTAAAGGGAAACCAAAGCCAAGACAGGATGGTGGCTCTCACAAGACCACTGAGTTTAGATTTTAGAACAACGAGCTTACAGACTGGTCCCCCACCACCCAGACACCTGACCAGGCCAGCACTATCTCACTGACTGTCTCCCTGCACTCACTCTCTGTCTGCAGCATTGCAGTAGAAGGCACTGGTGAGACGCTGTGAAGACCTAGTGGAAAAGCACTTTCCTTCCAGGTTCTGGAAGGGAATAATCAGGGTAGGGGCCCAACAATCCACGATGACCATCTCTAGCCTCACCCTCAAGCTGTCCCTGTGCAATGGCCATTTCAGGAATCACAATGCTGCAACCTCAATCAACTGTATGAATACTTGGCAAATTGTTTGTATAGACCAGCTCCATCTAGCCTGCCCATATCCTGCTGCTATGGCAGGCAGCTTCTGTGGGCCAGCTGCCCTCAGGTCAGTGCCTTTGCCAGAGGTCAGTTTCTTGTTCCAGTGGCAGCCTTGTCCTCTTCAAAAAGCTGAAGTCTGTGTATGTGTATGAATATAGGTCTCTGGTGATGCCAGACTCTTTATCATTCACTTGTCATTGGCCTGAGGTTATAGCTGCCCCTATTTCTCATGCTATTTCTCCCCTTTCCCTAAAGAACAATTTTATATTAAATCTCCTCTGGTCAAATAACTGATGTGGTTTTATTTTTTGAGTGGGCCCTGCCTGAAGATCAGCATTGTACATCATATGCTCTTAGGAAAGACTTTGGCAGAAACCTGAACCACCAGTGTATTAGTACTCCTTACCCATGGTTTTTATTTCTATGGTTCCAATTGCATGCAGCCAACCCGGTTTGAAAACTATTCAATGAACTTGTGCACCATTCCATATATCATAATAAATCCCACACCATCCTGCTCTGTCCTGCCTGGAATGTGAATCAGCCCTTTGTCCAGGGGATCCACACTGTATAGTCTACCTGCCTATTAATCACTTAGTGGCCATACTTAACATGACAGCATGGCAATCAATCCTTGGGTTGTAATACTAAGGTTCAAATAACCCTTAGTTTACTTCATAATGTCCTCAAAGTACAAGAGTAATGATGCCAACAAGTCAAACACACCAAAGAGAAGCTCTACAGTCCTTCATTTAAGTGAGGAGTTGGAAATCCTTGACCTAAGGAACACACATGGTATCTATAGGGTTCAGTCTTATCTGTGGCTACAGGTCTCCACTGGAGAACCTGGGTTCCCTCTGGTGGATAAGGGGACTGCGGTAAAGATCTGCCACAGTTTCTCCTGTAGCTATTAATAAATGATACTTCATTAAAAATAGAAAAACATGTCCAATACTGAAATGGGAGGGACCCCATGGTCACAAATACAACTGAGATCTCAGACAAAGCAGGTTGTATGGTCATCCTGTTGATATGCTGTAGTCCAAGAGAATATGAGGATTATATTTCCTATGTAACTTTTCTATCTGTAGACCACCAAATCAAGGAACCCCCAAAGTAATGGACATATTTAGAAAACAAACAGATGCCCCTTTTTATCTTCCCAAACCTTGTCATTTGATACCTCCAGATATTCCCTTAGTTAATGGACAGAATGCCAATGGCAGATGCCTGATGGTGTCACATGAGAAACACTTGTTTATCTCATAATTTCCTTCAGATACACAATCCAATAAAGTAACTAATGTGATGCTTTCAAATTGAGGTCCCCACTGTATTCCTCGTTCAGTGATTAGTTCCCTTCATTCTCTCTAACAGCATGTTTTCATTTAGGGAACATTGTAAATATTTTCATATTAGCATATTTTGAATTATCTACATGACCATTTTATAGCTGAGGACTCAACTTTCAGACTGTGTTGATGCGGAAGAGTATTACATAAAATGTGGTAGAGGATAAAAAAGGAGAGCAGTAGATCTTAAATGAATGATGCATCAATTCTATGGACTCACCAAGCAGTATCTAAGAAGGTTCTATAATCATTTAAATAGACACAGTTGTATGAAGAGAGAAGAGATTTTGGTCAATTAAATATACCCCTTAGTATAGCTGTACCGAACTCAATCAAATTGGCATCAAAAAGTCCATATCATTTTTTATTGAAATAGCAACTTAGCTTCTACAAAATGGCATCACAAATCATATAGAACAAGTCATTCAGCCTGGCTGCTCTTGGAGAAAATGAAAATTCCATTCCTTAAAAGGTTCTCAACTAACCACTTCTTCTTCCTCTTTCCCCTACTCCTGTTCCTCCATCTCCTCCTCCAGGGTTGGGGGAGAGGAAACCCAGGGCCTCATGTAGGCTAAGCTTGTGTCTACCACTGAGCTGTGCCCCTACTCTGGCCCCTGATTTTTATCAGTACATCTCATCATAATTATACTCTTCTTTTCTCACTGAATATCTGGGACACTTTGGTAGTTTTGTGTAATATTATTCCACAGGGCTTGAAAGAGAAAGTTCTGTTCAGGCAGGGAGGACACAGGGACATTGAACTTGTTTCTTCCACAAAGTGTCCATGGGATCCTGATCAAATCCCAAAGACTCCTTCAGCATCCCTCTCCCCTGAAAGACACAAGAAGCACAGTCAACAATTCCCTTAGCACTTTGAAGCTTCTGCTTCTTGTAATGTTTTCTCCTGGGATTAATTAACAGGTAAATGTGTTTTTATCTCATGCCTCTTTGAAACCATGATGGAAATCTGATGGAAGGGTACAGGCATGGACATAGGGAGTGGCCATTGCTAAAGAACCTGGACAGCCATTGAGTGTCAAATTTGAAACCTAGTTGGGGAAAAAAACATATGCTGCTGCATGACTAGTCCTACCTGTTCTTTTTCAGGCATAGGGTTTCTTTATCTCACCCACAGGGAGGCAAGTTATTTCAACCCATCCTGGGGACTTAGATGCTATCTGGCTCCATTCCTTCCCTGGACCAGCAGAAGTCTGAGATAGAGATGCTGGAAGCCCAGCCTGAGGCTTTCCTTAGGTATGCCAAATCTGGAGCTGAGGGAATTGGAAAAACTATATCCAAGGTTGACTGGGGGATGAGCAGCAGTGAATCATACAGACTCTTCTGGACCAAGCAGGCAGGCTCTGCTGAACCTCCTTTTCTACTAGGCCTCAACTATGGCTTACAAAAAATGCACATATGATTTTGTTTATTGCTCTATTCCACAATAAAAGACTCAAACAAACACTAATATGGTTTTCAATAGTTTAAGGCCATATCTGCATGATGAACCTAGCCCTTCCCCTTAAAGTACCTGCCTCAGAAAACTCAAGACTGCTCAAAGAATTCACCATTTGTTACAGCTAACATTTAATGAAAGGGCCTCACTTTCCCAAAGCATTTACTCTAAAGGATTTACCATTGTGAGTCTTCCCTCTTTCCCTTGGTCTATAGAAATATGTATCTCTTACAACCCACAAGTGCATTTCTCAAGGCCCTGAAAACCATTCCTTTGGAATGCAATCATCAGGGAGACAAGGGCCTCTGCCTTAGTCTCTGTGGGAGGACAGAACCGGAACTTCAACAATTACACTTTGTACTTTTAAATTTTTGTTCCTCAGCCCTTCCCTCACCCTCCCTATTACTAGTTCAATTCTCCATTTAAAATATTCAGTCCTTTCTGCACAAAGTTGAATTTGGTTCTTGTTGGAACTTCTTCACTACTGCCATTGTATAATATTGATTAAAACCTTGACTGGTTTTATTTATCTTTGATGTAGGTAAGCCCAAATCTTGGCTGAAGAGCTGTGATATGACATAGGAGAAGCTGGGACTTCACTGGAGACTGTGTTTTCACTGGTGGCTGAGGTCTCTGCATCCTGCCTGCCTTGACCCCATTTCATCTTTCCTCTTTCTCACCATTGCCCATGACAGCGGTCTTCCATGACATACTCTTCAGAATGTAGCCTGGAAATCTTTCTAAAACACAACTATGATCATTTTTCTCCCCCTTTCGAATCATTTGGTGTTCACCCAGAGACCATAGGACAGAGGACAAAAAGAAACCCACTTTCTGTGTTGATTACTTTTGTGTGTCAACTTGGTCATCATACCCAGAATGTCAATCAAACACCAGTCTGGCTATTGCTGTAAAGGTATTCTTTAGATGTAATGAGCATTTATGTGAGCAGATTGCCTTCCAAAGTGCTCATGGATCTCAACTAATCAGCTGAAGTCCTTAAGAGGAAAAGATTGAGGTTGACAATAAAATGTCATTCCACACAATGGAATTGCTCAGCCCTAAAAAGAAATAACCTATCAAGGCACAAAAAGGCACCAAGGAAATTGCACTCATATTTCTAAGTGAAAGAGGCCAATTTGAAAAGGTACATAGTCTAATGTCACTGGGGAAGGTAAAACTACAGACACGGTAGAAAGATCAGTGTTTTCCAGGGGTGTGGTGCTTGCTGGTCTTTTGCATTTTCTTTTCCTTCTTTCACTCCAAAACAGCACAAATATAACATGTACTGCTCAGAGGAGTGCTTTGATCATTCCATTTCCAAAAGACAGTTATCTCTTTATGAGTTTTGAAACAAATATATCTACAAAATGTTTTATTTACTGCCTCGACTTTTAACACACTTTGTGCACTTTTAAACATCCAGAAAGACTAAATTTTTCAAATAAGGACTTAAGTGTGTCCAGTAGTGTTGAATAAACTCCACACATGACAATGGTTATATCTGAAAATGTCTTCAAAATTGGATCATTCTGGCCTAGAATCCTTCATTTCTTCCTATTTATTTCTCCTATGTCACATCTGATATAGGCACATGTGTCACTCAGATGTGATGTTACAATTTAACTTATAAAAGTTCTTTTCAGAAGAATGCCTTTCTATGAATTTTAACACACACTACATAAAATGTATTAGTTTATCAGCTCTACTTTTGTCATATACTGTCAATTCTTTCATATCTAGAGACTAAACATTATAAAATTAGGACTTCATTTCCAGGATATACATACTCTATACAGTACAGAAAAGTTAAATGAAACACACCTTACAGGACAAGGAGTAAGCTGAGATTTTATAGCACACTCTAACAAAAAACCTTGTGTAGCCTCTTCCCTTCCAACTCCCTTATCCCAGTGAACAATAATAGACAGTAAACCATTCATAGGTGGTTTAATAATTTCATTCAGAAGTGGTCTAACAATTCCAAACACAGTATTTCAAATCAGTTTTTAAGAGCTATTTTTAAAAAGTTTTATTTAATTATTTTTAGTTTAAATGTGTCAAGCACTTCTAAATATATAGAAGGACTAGTCACTCTGCATAAGAAGCTGTTCTCTATGCACACAGCACTGGTAAATAAAATTGCACACATAGCAATGGTTATAATCCAAGGTATCTTCTAATATCACCAATTGTCTTTGAACATTTCCCTTCTCACATCCTTCTCTCTACTTTTTGTCCAGTGGACAATACCGGCAT